TAACGGGTCGAAGAGAAATATATTTGCCGATGTACTTACACTGCATGAATACTTACCCATAGTTTCCTTCTCAAGATACCGATCCAGATCTTCAGCGATAACAAGCATTAAATCCAACATTTTCTTCAGTTTTACATTAGAAAAAATTGGCGTCAATTTGGACCTTAGAATCTTCCAGCTTGGATTCTTTATCAAGGCAACGTTCGCGTATCCAAGCCGGTCCTTCACATTCGGCGATACATATCTATTACAGAACACGTTGAAGTCCTTCACGAAGATATGCTTCAGAAGTTCAGGATCTCGTGCAAGCAAGAAAGGTTTGTTAAAAATATAGAATCCTACGTAAGGTGACCCCTTTCCTTTATTGTACAGTTGCCTAAGATATTCCGAACCTGATAGTTTGAGTAAAAGGCAGTCTTTAAAGTTTCCAAAGAATGGTGTCGTTGGAAATTGCAGGACACCTCGTTTTTCCCAGTATTTATATTTCCTAGTTACAAACAGGTATGCACTGATCAGAAGAGTCGAGAAGATGAGAATGCCATCTAACACCCAGTGTGAGGTGAGGAGTACCATTTTTAAGAGACCTGATTCGTAAAAATGATTATTAGAAAAAAGTCTAATTTTAAACTAACGATTAATACAAAATTTGTCATGTGTAAGATATAAGAATACATATATCAATGTCACGATATTGTTAAATATATCCTTTTTAGAATAAAAATTAAAAAGCTAGCAGTTTCTTATGTTGTCTAATAAAAATTACAGTATAAAGAAATCGTAACTTCCAAGAAAATATGGTATGGCTCGAATTTCTGGAAAAGGTTATGAATCCCTATTTATATGCAAAGAATAATTAATGATTAACAATAATTTATTTAATATTTTTATAACCTAATACTCCGTGATAGTCTCACGGGTACTTACGTATCGTAGCTTTTATTTATTTTATAATAGTATAAAATTTTCACACTGCGTTTCAACATTCATTTCCAGATAAGGATAGCGGCTTTGGCTTATATAGCCTTTTGTTTATCTCGTCCATAAATTTCTTCAGGAGTGCTCATAAATTATTAATTGTATTTACATTAAGTTATTTTACCGACCATTTTATAATTCATATGCTCTTTGTTGTAAGTAATCCACAATATTTCTAGTTTTACGACAACTACCCTATCATGTTGAAAAAGAATGGTCCCATTTTTTGAAGCATTGTTCCAGGCTCCGTATTGAAATGTCTTCCAAAGCACAAATGTATATTGGATCAATCAAATGAAGTTTAAATGTATTATCTACAATTGTCTACATTTTGCATTTGCCAGTGTCATTTACACTCGCCACTATTGAGATATAATGAAAATAGAATCTGAGGAAGAAGAATGAAACCGGTGTTAAGGATCTATACCTTCTTCGTTTGTTTTTGTGAAACGAGCGGATTATTTACTGTTGACTTTTACATGAAAGGACGGTTCAATAAATGTGCAAGTAAATTAAAATTCTGAGAAGTCTCGTAAAGTTGACGATTTGCTTGGTGTATATTGCATCCTAAGTTCACAATGTGACCACCCAATTATGTAGGAATAACTTTAGAATTTTTAATATAAATTATAGTTTGTAAGATACAAACGTTCCGAGTATTTAATAGAATTTTCAAGTTTCATTTTATTTCCACAGTAGCAGAGGCGATAAATATTAAAATACCCAATAATATATATATATAATACACCATTCGTAGTTTAATGCGTAGAAATTTACAACTAAATATGTTAATATAGTTTATGACAATTAAATTACAGATATCCATGTACATAGGTGCAATGTGTCCAAATACGCAAAATACATACACGTCATACTCTTATGCAAATATATTTCAAAGCGAATTGTTATAAATGTCTAAGTGTCTTATATGTGTATTCATATAAGAGAGTAAAAAATTGACCTGGACCTTCATTTTCGGAATTAATCTTTTTATTGCAATGTATTATGCTTATTATGCGCAGCAAGGGCTCAAAAGTATCACGGAGTGAAACTGAATTGCTTTTTTGGAAGAAATGTTAAGTTTCTACAAATTTTTAAAATCACTTCATGTGTAATGTGCTTATATTCTGCAATCAAGTGCAGTAAAAACTGTATTTATCAATTATAACTGTATTCATAACTGTATTTATTTATGCAGTAGAATCAGTATTATAAATTCCTATTTTCTTTAATCTTCTTTAACTACCTTCCTGCTTAATCAAATAACTAAACAACGAAGTAGAATATTCAATTATTAATACAATTGTTAATACAGTTCGCCTATAATTGGAGGAATTCTGGGGAATTAAAATTTCCATCGTGTATTTTTATAAGTTTATCTATTATTTTCTGTCTATAATTCTTCTTCTTTATTCTCCCCCCGATTCAGCAGTTAAATATAATTTAAAATATATTTTACAATATCTCTTTGCTGTACCATGACCTTTCCGGAATTGATCCATAATACTTGTACATAAAAAGTCGAGCATTACTATAATGCATTTTATAAAAGGGATATTAAATTATTATTCAATTATACAAGTAATATAACGGTTCTGTACAAATTTATAAAGACATTTAAGGTGGTTTAACCAGCTGCTGTATTGATCTTCCGGACATTCAAGTATATTCCTCCTAACGCTGTCTTGGTGAGTCCTTTCGGATTTGTAACCATAGGGATTGGCGTTTTCTCGCAAGGTGACACTTCATACTTGCTCAACACTTTGATTACACCCAGCTTCGATTGCAGAAGACCCATTCGAAGTCCTGAAACATCGTGAAATGAAAGTAACCAGTTAAATAATTGGTTAGAGAATAAAAGTAAATAAATTGGACCGTAAATTTTTCTACATATGAAGAACAACAAGGGGAAGGACGAAAATTAGAAGCTGATTGGCTTGATAATGCAGGAATTTATATAATGTTAAATGAACGGAAGAAGGCACAGAAGTTTAAATCATATCTTAAAACCTGTCAGTTGATCGG